AAGCGAAGTCTTTGAAGAACATCTCGTTTCAAATCAATCATGCATGATTTCACGGTCATGCACCTGATGACCACTGCGACCAGGTCAGAATCGTTGAATGCTTCGATGAACGCTAAAGAGTATTTGATTGAGGTGGTTTGACTGGCTAATCTTTGCACATCTGCGATTGTTCTTAGCTGAGGCCCCTTGAGTCAGATGGCCAGTTTTAGTGAGCATATGATTCCGTGTTTTTCCACATTTTCGATTCTTCCTGGATGGCTCACTACTAATCCCACAGAACGGCATTCGATGCGATGGTGAATGAGCAATGTTGTCATTTGTCATACAGGAAGAATGCCGAAAGAGTCGTAGGCCGGCCAGTCAAAAACGAATTTTCAAATTCTAAACCTTAGTTTCACGAAATTTGCTGTTCACACACCTCACATTTGCGTGAAAGAAATTCCCACAATTGTTGCTCCTCAGAGTCTCTCAAACCCTTGCAACAACGGCTTTTGTGTTGAAGGATGCATTTTCAGATGTTCCTCTGAGAAAGCATTCACAAATCATTACACTTCGTCCAAGATAGAGCCAAAGATATCTAAGCATCTTATTTAACGTGTATGACTACTTGTCTTCATTAGCATAGAAATGAGTTTGCGAGAAGCGGAGGCTGAACGGCGGAAATCGTGCCAACAAAAGCGACATCTGTTAGGGTCACGCAAAACACTTGTGCATGGTGATGAGGAGAATCATGATCCGCCAGAATCAGGCTTCTGGATTTGCAGATATCGTTTACATAACTTTCGCTGCTTATTGAGTCACCTTATATCATAATTCTGCGATGTTCTCCTTTTGAAACTTCTCCTTCAAAAAAATTAGCCTTTTTCTGCACTGGTCACTTGCATGTTCATCTATTTGAGGTTACGTTGAATCGCCCACCAAGGCTCATCAATCACTCGTCGGAGTTTTTCTTCCATCTGCAATTTGGTTTCACTTTGAGCTACACGCTGCATTAGGCTATGCGTGCATGACTGTTCTCGATGTTCCCCCTCTCTCCTTCTTCCTTATCATGCTTCTTTTTAAACTTCAAGTCCTACTTTTCTTCTTAAAACCGCTTAAGGAGTAGCAAATTATTGCGATAAGGAATCAGTGGTCACGTATAATCCGAATGTTGAACAGCAAGTCTAACGCTGCTGTACGTTTATCGTTTCCGCCGTCGTCGCCGTTCAAACATTTGCGCCTGATAAGGAGCCTACGGTGATGACTCGTATCCGTCGGCTGAAGCTACAGCCAGCAGACAGCAAACAGTCGGCGGAGCCTCAAACTCAACCTAAGCAGGCCTGCTTCAGGCTGTTGACTGACAGATATCAGCCTCTTTACCGTAGTATACATAGCATCCACGCACCTGTTGACGATATGTAGGGCGGAGTCGGCCTCGAGGACGAGAGGTTTGCGAGTCAACTGAAATCTCGTCTTTTGTATTTTCTTATCCTTGAAAAACATACGTTTCCATTGATCATACATACCAATTTCTTGTGGAAAAGTTGTTTCCAGTTTAGTTCTTCTTCATCTCTCCGGCTGAAGGATGTGATTGCACTGTCAACACTTCGAATTTGCAACAAAGAAAATTTTTACGAAGCCGCCGTATAATGAAATTTTGAGGAAACGACCATCAGCTGTGGCAGTAGCCGCTATCTGCCCAACTAATAGGTTAATTACGCCAATGTCCCAGGCGGGGCAAGCCACGTTTACCCTCGTCTGGTCAGTTATGACTGGAACCATTTGCATAAATGGTTCGTTCCTTGGGCTCATCAACGCCAACGCGTAAACATCACATAAACATCGCGAAAGCAGTATGGAATGTAATCGCTCACTATGTTTATTTGTCTTCAGTTGGAAATCATTGGGATTTAAAAGTTTTCTAATGTAGCTCTTGCATTCTCATTGCTCATTTTCGGCCCAGTAGCCGATTCGTAATCGCATAAACGACAATGTGAATCAGCCGAATGCGTTGTCATACCTCATTACTCATAGGGAAAACGTAGCCATTCAGTAACGCTCAGAACAGCTACGAGTTGACAACTATGCATAGTTCTGTGCTAGTTGTTGTGACTTTAAGACCAAATCTAAACCTCCCATTTGGCATCGCCGCTTTTGCTACACTCATAGACAGTCGCGCACCTCGCTGGCGGCGAACGCTTTCTTTCCATCGTACGTTGCGTCAGCGATCAAACGCTGTCCAGATGCTATCTGATATCCGTGGCTGCGGTTACCTCATTCGAACTCTTCTAACCTTGTTCTCCCTGCTATTCTCCTCATTTATGGCTATGTCGTTATATTCGTCCAAATTTTTTTTCTTCGTGATCAGTGGGGAAACTCTCTGCATTGTTTACTTTCTGAGTTACAACAATCATAATCCTGGCAATCCACGCACCTATAAAAAAGCCCTTTAGCGTGGGAGCGTGAACACCAGATCGTCTGATACCTATATTTTACGACGCGTTAACAATATGCAGTTCTGCTGTTCCATCACATCTCCACGTACCTCTTTCACAAACAGGTTATGAAACTTCAGAAATGTTTCTGATTCTTTTGGAGTTTTTTTTGTGAAATAGCATTTTCTTACAGACGAACATTATTCGTATCCTATGGAGTGCAGTATTTAAGTACTCTAATTCGAATACCTCCTTCCAATATTCCCGAAATCGTAAAAGTCTCCAATTGCGTATGTGGAAGTGTCTATTTCAATGATCGCCGCGTCTCTAGCCTTCACATATTTCATGCGAATTGTTGCATCCGAGTGTCTGAAGAGGGCGTTTTATTGCGGTTCTCTGCCCGGATAATGAGGGAATCTCGAATGACCACAAATGGCCACTTGTGGCCTTCTCTATCCAATGCACTTGTGATGAACGCGCCAGATATCTGACCACCCTCTACTCAAGTAGCTAATCCTCGCATCGATATAAACACTACTACGTAGTGAAACTCGAGGAAACAACAAGATGAGAGGGTCATTTCTGGCCATTTGTGCTAAACTCACATTTCTTAGCTTTATTTCACTTTTTATCGCAGTTTTTGAAGCATTCATTAGATAGTCGAAGTTTTTATGTCAAGATGCACTTGAATTTGAGTTTTTTTCCTCATAATAGGAACAATTGAGATTGAAATGAGTCATTGACGTCGATTATATGCACATTAAGCAGGCATTTTGAAGCTGTAGCGCGAATTTATGAATGTTGCTTTTGTTGTGCGTGGTTTTTATGCATTTGACGCTTTATATTCGCAATCATTGATTCTTCTATCTCGCAAAGGCTTGCTAGACATCGGCTTATTACTAAGTGCGGTAAAAGTGATGTTTTCTTCAAATCTTTCACCTTATTCTTTTTCGAATAATCTTGAACTACTTTTTCAGAATGTCGGACTACGACTGTCCGACCACCAGTGCCAATAATCTTAAAGAGCAACCTTGGTATTGCGGCATGCTTACCCGCATCAAATCCGAGCAAATGCTGGGAGAAAACGGCGAATTCTTGGTAAATACACAATTTGCTGAACATTTTGAACGAAAGAAGAGTTTTTTTTCGCAATTATTGAGCTCTTTGCGCGTCTTCTAATCCTATAGGGGAAGGGGACATACGTGTGTCAACATGACAGCTGTGTCGTCCTCTCTTATTACACAGACACACACGTCTATTAATCGTTGAGTACACTATATCTTCATTGTCCTCATTGTTTCTTCTGAGACAACAAACACAATGCAAGTTTAAGGAGTCAAAATAGTCGAAAATACTGAGTTGAGGTTGTGAACTTAACCGTAGAGCGAGTTACTGCCTGCCGCTTACTTTCTAGCATGGGGTGTATAACCAAACCTTCTGTGAAGAATGCGCGTCTGACTAAACATTCAGGTCAGGGAGCGTTCATTGCCTATTCATGAATAGCCCATACGATCTGAACACTTGAAAACAAAAATGCAGAGAAATTCCTACCAACTTCTTTGAAACAGGTACTCAACAGAACTCCTTTCAGGTCCGCGATTCCATCTCAATGCCGGGGGAATATGTTTTGACTGCTATGTGGAATGGGCGTCCTCTCCACTTTCAAATAAACTCTGCTTTTGAAAATGGAAAGAAACAATTTCATGTAAGCTGGACTTTTTCCGGAAAACTCCATTTATATAATCTATACGAAATCTCAATATTCATCGGTCATCTGACAATCAGCCTGAACAAAGACAGGGAACAGCGCGTGCCAGGTGCAATGTGCGATTCTTCAAACGGTTTTACCCTCCACCATTTGTCAATTTCCGACATGGGAAAACGCGAAATTAACAACATAAGCATAATCACTCTTATTCAAAAAGCTTGACGCTCGGTAGTTCTTAGTTTTGTCCGTTACCATCTGTCTCCGATGCGGTATATGTTTCGCGCGGTACGTCGACTAATTGTAGGGTTACGGTTATGAAGGCGCATTCGTAACAATGCATGGACATAGGTCATGACATTGAGGATAAGATGGGCCCAAAATACAAGCGCTAATTCGATCCACCTTTGCTCAGAACGACCCCAGGAAAAATGCACTTCTTTCCGAAAAGACTTGCTCAGAATATCATTAGGTCATCTACAAGCTTCGTCTTTTTCATTACTTTATCTTTTCTCACTAATTATGCAAACCTTTCGGCGGTGTCGTTTCAAGTATGTGCGCATGCCCAAACAGGCACACAACAGCATTAGATTCACCCCGAAATATGATCATGGTATTTGTGTTGCAAACAATTTGCACTAAAGGGAAAAATCGTTCTTGGACATATGACAACCATAACCTTTCTATCATTAGCAATTTTTTCTCTTTTTACTCGAACTTTTCCTAATATGAGGTCATAGCTAACACAAATATGGCAACCTTCATAGCAATTCCTTGTTCTGGGAAAAGAACTTTCAGATTTTAACAAAATGTTCCTTCATATGGAAAATAGATATGACTCATACTGTATGTCACATAACAATATCCAATCAAAACAATTTAGTTAGAAGAAGAGTCCTTCGTTTCTGTCGCTGCGCTGGTAAATTTCTATCGTAGCCATCGTCGTCCAGTCACCATCGCCTCTGGCTGCATTATTACTACACCTGTAGATCGTTCTCGCGAAGGAGCGATTTCTGGCGGCTTAGAACTTGAAGCTAGCTATATGCATGTACTAAAGCCGCACATAAATCAGGGTGAGAAGACTCTTAAAGTGGAAGAATTTTGCTTAGGAAAGTAGATTTTTTAGTCACTCCAAGATCGCTCTCCCAACGGGTACTACTTAACCAAACAGCACTTCGTCAGAATGCCGCTTCTCGCCAGCAGCGTCCCCGCTCAAGCATAAGTCATCATCAAATCAGGTTTGTATCTTTTGACAGCTATTCCATTCAGAAAATGAAATTAAAATGGTTTAATTTCCTAAATATTATCATTTAGCACA